CAAATGCTCAAGAGTTGGACCTAATTTCCCCTGCATCATCATAGATGGTTTTCAAAAACTTTGCCAATTATGCTGCAAAGTTTTTTACAACAATAATTGTTATCAACATCACCTTCAATCTGGATTCTGCAATAAATCGAAACAGTGTGAGAAGTGTGGAGTTATATGGAATGTAAAAGACAACAACAAAAAAGGTCGTCAGGGTCATGTGTGCGGCGAACGACATTGTTCTACCTGTAATGATTATCATATTCCAAAGAGAGGATATTTCATCAAGCCTCTAGATCACAAGAACAACAAGAAATATCGCATCGTTGCATTTGACCTAGAAACAATGCAGCATCGACCTTCTGGTAATGGAAAACAACATGAACCCAACTTCATTTGTGCTAAAGTTACTTGCCCTGAATGTATTTTGGACGTAGGTTTTAAAATAAAAACTTATAATTTTTCTCTTTTTTAGGTGAAGGAATGTAAAGTTTGTGGGGATAGAAGGACTATTACCTTTTCCCATAAACCCTTTACAAAAACATCAGTTGACAAAATGGTGGTAACTTCAGACCCGTTGGGAGCTTTTGTTGAATGGATACTTAATGATCTCCCACAAGAATATGATACATTTGCTTTTTCACATTTTGGCGGACGTTTCGACATGGTACTTGTCTTTAAAGAACTATTTTTGAGAGGTGAATTTATATTGAGTACAAAATAGAAAAAATTCTTCAGGTTTCACGCCTGAGATGTTGAAAAAGGGTAATAAAATGTATGAAATGAAGCTGATTTCTCGTGGTAAGAACAAAGGGAGCATCATTTTCCGTGACTCCTTTAATTTAATGCCGATGTCCTTGGCTGCTCTTGTCCCCGCATTTGCTCTTCAAGTGGAGGAAAAGCCATTCTTCCCCCACTTGGCTAACCACCCGAACAACTACGTCAAGGAGATCTTCCCATCACCATCAGACTATATAGCAGATGGAATGATGCCTGATAAAAGGAAATTATTTGATGAATGGTATCAACAACATCGCCATGAGCCTTTCAACCTGGAGGAGTCCCTCGCGGCATATTGTACCAACGACGTGGAGATTTTAATGGCCGCTCTCATTGCGTTCCGCAATGAATTCATAGAGGTAAATTAGTTTAAAATATTAAATATTTTATTTTAAGGTTTCAAAGCGTGAAGCTGGACAACGACCAGCATCGAACAAGGGACATGAGGGGATTGATGTGCTTCGTGAGGCCATGACAATCGCGTCGGCCTGTATGAAGCACTTCCGATCAAACCATCTAAAGATCGACCATGTTGGCATTGTTCCGGAACGTGGGTATGATAATATTGAAAACCAAAGCAAAATGGCCCTGAAATTTCTTGAATGGTATGGAGAGGTAAATAATGTTCAAGTTCAGACTGCCATCACTGCGGGCGGTGAAAAAAGGTAAAATTAGAAAATAAAATTAGAAAACTAAACCAAAATAATTAATTTAAGAGTTGGCAATTATCATTTGGACGGGTGGGTGGAGGATATGCAGCTTGGAATTGAAGTCAACGGATGCTGCTGGCATGGGTGCTCCAATTGCTTCCCCGATGACAACACTGTTTTACCCAATGGTAAAACAGCAGGAAAACAACGGGAATTGGATCAGCAGCGACTTACTTTCATCAAATCTCAAATTCCCAACATTGAAGTATATTGGGAGTGCGAGATCGAGAATATGGTGAAAAAAGACCGGGAAATGCGCCGCAAGTTTGAAACTTATGTTGATAATGGACCTGTAGAGATTAGAAATAGTTTCTTTGGCGGAAGAACCGGTCCACTGAAACTTTTCTACAAGCCAAAGGATGGGGAAAGAATTAGTTACTATGATGTAACGTCCCTTTACCCGTTCATCAATGTATCGACCAACTACCCAATCGGACACCCAAATGTCCATGTTCTCAATGAAAATGTTTCTTGGACTTGCTCCGCTGACAACAAATACAATTTGGCCATTTTAAAGGTATTTTTATGCGTTTGAAAAATATATTAAGGTTTTAGGTATTTGTCATCCCTCCACGCAAGATTGATGTCCCGATCCTGCCTGTAAAGCTGGATGAGCGTCTACTTTTCCCGTTGTGCGCAACATGTGCTCGACTCTATCCGAAGGGCAAAGTCGAGGAGAACTACAACTGTCAACATACAGACGAGCAACGAGGCTGGGTGAGCACTTGTACTTCGCTGGAGTTGAACGTAGCACTTGATGAGGTATTTTTTAATATAAAGTTAAGTTAAACTATTATTTTAGGGATACATTGTTACAAAATTGTTCCGGGTTCTGGAATATACGGCTTCTGATAACGGTCTCTTCACTTCATATATTGCCGAGTTCATGGCGCAGAAAGTACATGCTTCCGGCTTTGACGACTCAATTAAAGGTAATATTGAAGCGGAGAACAACTTCATCAAGGAATGCGATGAAATGTTCAATATAAAGATCGAGCGGGAAAAAATGGTAAAATTAAAAATTTATTAGTTAAATTTTAAATATTTTAGGTTCCAAACAAGGGAAAAAGGACACAAGCCAAGCTGTGTCTTAACAATCTTTGTAAGTTCTATTATATAAAATTAAAAATAATTTTAATTTTAGGGGGAAGATTTTCACTGAGAAATTTTGGACTATCTCAGTGTACAGTGACAGATGACCCTGTGAAAGTTAGAAATTTAATGGATGACCAGAGCAAAGAAGTGACGGGATTGGATGAGCTAACTCAGGATGTTGTGCTCATCAGCCATCTGACAAAGGACTGGATTGAGGAGCATGACTGCTCCAACGTTGGTATGTTTTTTTGAAAAAGTTTTAAAAAATAAATAAAATTTCTAGTGATATCCTTGTGGACGACGTCCGCTGCCCGCCTTCATTTGTTAAAAGCAATGCAGCAGGTAGTGCGATCTCCGGGATGCACATTGTTATATACAGGTAAAAATTCAAAATACGATTTAAGTAAATATTAAAATTTAGACACGGATTCATTAATTTTCGCCCATCCGAATGAATCCTGCCCACTCGAACTAGGCCCACATCTCGGGATGTTCACTGATGAATACCCGAGACATGAAATTCTCGAGTATTGTTCTGGCGGCGCCAAGCAATATGGGCTTAAATTACAACGCAAGGACCAGATGGATGCTGCTCCAGAATATGTTCTCAAAATTCGTGGGATCACTTTGAACTGGGACGTTGTTGTCAACCAAGGAATGCAGTATGAGAATTTTAAAGATAAAGTTTTAAGTTTTGCTAATGAAGAATGTACCCCTATAAATATTGTTTACCCAAATTTTCTTAGGCCTACTGTAAAAAGAGGTGCCGTTATTACCCAACCTATGAGTAAAATTTATAAGCCTTTTGTCGGCAAGGGTGTTTTACGCCCGAGCGACTTTTCTGTTATTGATTATGGTTTTAATTCTAATTAATTATTGTATCTTTCTATCTTATTTATTATTTTGTAACTTAATATTTTCTTTTATTTATTCTAATAAAATTATAATGCAAAATTAGTGTAAAGAAGTAATTGGTTTTGAGGGCAAAATTACAGAATTAAGCAAAAGAAGAAAATATTTTAAGATTAAAGAAAAGAAGTAGTAGATTTTAGGGAGAAAATTGCATAATTAGTGCAAGGAAAAAACAATTAAAAATTTAAAATAACTGTTTTTAAAATTAACAATTATAAGTAGTCATTTTTAGGGGGAAAATTGCAGAATTAATAAAATGGAGATTAAATTTGGAAAAATTCATAAAAATTATATGTCTTTGTACACACAGACAATGTTCACGCACATATGTGATTACCAACCTTCCATCTCATCCAACATATCAAACTCTAATGGTTCATCGTTTTTGTCCGAATCAGAATTTGCCTTGTCGATTCGAAGTTTGTCTGAAACATCTACATATAGTGGTTTATCGTTGTCCTTAATCGGGAAGCTAATATAATCCTCTTCCTTATCATCGACCAGCTCGAGTAATTCAAGAGGGTAGTAGCGGTCCTCGCACCGACGTGGAAACTTTTCTACAACACATTGGAGATAAGGATAACGTAGACGAATCCTATGTCTTGAATAGTAATGAGCCGTGACCGAAACATTGTAAGGACGAGACAGTGCCCCGTACGCCATTAATGTATGTGCTCCTTAATGAAATTTTAAAGTAATTGGTGGGTAATGATCGGAACCTTTATGCGTGAATCCGTGGAATGTGAAAGTTTTGCGGAAGTCGTTACGATCAGAATAAAGGGTTCGAACAATCCTTCCTTTGAGCTTCGAAAGTAGAATGGCACGCTTTGCCGGGTGGTTTAAATGATCGCGAAGAGACTTTGGATGGCAATTAAGTATGTCGGCGCATTCATCGATTAAATGACGCATTTCTAGAATTGAATGAATGAATGAAATTAAAAAATTCGCGTTTATATACCCCCTCTGAACACCCTGAAACAATCAATTATGATTTAAATAAGACTTTAATTTAATTAATTAAGATGGTCCCTTTTTCTTTCTCACACTTTATAATAAAAATCAAATGACCTTGGTAAACGGTCAATAGGTAAGAATAATATACAAAAAGCAATTAATCGACAGGATTATTGAAGATACACCTTATATTCTTTACCTTTATTTTTTATTCATTTTATATATTTTAGTTTTATTTTTTAAATGAGTGAAATTGAAGAAATTAGTAGTGATCTTCTTTCAACTCAGCGAGAATTGGGGATATTGTATATACGTGTTAGACGAATAGAAATTTGGGCGGAAGCTGAGGTTTAAATTTTTGATTATATCTTAATAACTTATTATTCCAAGCTAAACTTCCCTCGCCCATTATTTCCATTGGATGAAACAATTGATGCAATACGAGATCGTATACGGGCTCGTGGACAGTCAAATGGACAACAACAACAACAGCATAATAAGTCATCAAACGAAAATGGTTAGAGATAAAATGTTTATTTGTAATAAGATTTTTATAATTAGGGCATTATGACCAAATTGTGCCACAACAGCAACAAACTACTCCACAGGGTAGTTCAGGTAATTAATTTTAATATTTTAATAGTTTTATAGAGTAATCTATAATTTATATTTTATAGATCAATATTTATATTTATTTATATTTTTATAGAGCAAGTTGTGCCAGAACGAGACTAGAGATGAATAAAATTGATAAAAAATTGTTAATAATGATTAATTATATAATTTTGGATAAATATATAAAATTAGTTGATTTTTTAGTTAGTAAAATTTCTGTGATGGTCCCTTACTATTTGTGTGTATATATTATTAAAATAAAAAATATTATTCTTTTTGATCTTTAAATAATTGCCGCTTTTTTTATTGCGTGCCGTTTTCGTAAAACAGCTGGCGTAACTGACTTTTCGCCTATGACCTTGCGGGAGTAAGTGAGAGAATAGAGAATTTATTGTAATTTTATTCAAATAATGTTATACATTTCCTTTTGTACATTTCCTTGATTATCCTTTATTTTTGTTTTTAATTTTTATTGGTGTCCTTATTTTTCTTTGAATTTTTAATTTTAGAATTATTTTTAAAAAATGGAGAACAACAACAACAACATAGATTTAGGTCTATCAAAAATGATGGACAAATTAAGCTTAAGGGTTTCAAATTTGAGGGAGGACACCGTTGATATGCGGTCTATGGTCGAAGCCCATCACATACAAATCTCGAGACTACATCAAGATATTTTTGTGGATAGGGAGATGATTAGAAATCTCCAATTTCGTTTAGAAATGGTGGAGTATTGGGCTGAACAAGTAATTAATTTTTAATTTCATCAATTTTTTATTTTCTAAGATTGGGATTGGAAACTTCAACATAATATTTCCGCCTGTAGATGAAGAGTTGATACATCAGTATCAACAAATGGAGGTGGATCCTCCAGAAGAACAACAACAGGTTGAAAATCCTGTAAATGGTGAAGAAATGGATGAAACTTGGAGTGAGGAAGAAGAGGTTGCAATGGACAACCAGTAAATTTTGAATTTTAAAATTAAATTTGGAAAAATATTGTTTTGGATTAGGGTTGTTCACGATCGGTTTTAATTGAAAATTTTGATTTTTTATATTTTTTATGGAATTTAAAAAACCGAATCTAAAACATTCCTCTAAAACACAACTTGTATTTGACTAAAACTCAAAACAAAAGACCGAATTTTTAAAATTTGGATTAACCGAAAACCAGTTAATAACGAGTAGTGAACAAACCCATTTTGAATGTTTGTTAAATTATTAAATTTAAACTTGAACTTGTTAATTTCGGAAAACTTTTTTAATTTTAAAAATAAAATTACTTGATAGATTCACACTATTTAATTTTTAGTTCCATAATTACCTTATAAATATAAAAATATATAATTGAAAACATTTATCCAAAAAAATTAATGTAGCATTAAGTATTGTGTTTAGTGTTTTATTTGTTTGATTTGATGGTTTTGCTTCTGCTTTGAGCGTTAATTGTTATTTTGTTTATAGTCTTGAACTTTGAGTGTTAATTGTTATTTTGTTTTAAGCCTTTAGCTTTGAGCGTTAATTGTTATTTTGGTTAAAGCCTTCAGTATCTGCGTTCCGCTGAAAATTTTAGAATACTAATATTTACTATATTAGGTAGTAAAATTATTTGGATAGATAATTGCCCCCCCTATAAACTTTAAATATATAAATTTAGAATATAAATTGTGTGAGATAATTAAAACATTTTCAGTTTTTAATAATTAGAGAAAATTACCGGAACCTTCAACCCCTTTCTCTCGGCAGCTTTGCCCATTTTCTGTAATTTTTTTCTTAAATTCTGCTTTTGTTGTTGCGTCATGTGTTCTTTATTCCCTAATTTAGCTAAGCCTGGGAAAACTTTAACGATTTGGATGTCTGGATTAGCTGCAGACAAATTATTAATAATTCTTTCAACTTTTTCATTTCTAGCAAAGCCTCCCAGATGTATCACCGTGTCGGTGATACCATCCTTTACTCCCTCATCGTAAAGCACAGCCGGAGCATCAGCAAAGATTGTGGCAGGCTCCCACTGAGCCTCTTCGGGAGTAAAACCCTGCCACTGAACTAGCGCCCTCACAGGTAGTCCATCGTCCCCATATTCTTTATCTATAATTTTCTCTATAATCCAAAAAGCTCTTCCATTTTGGTCAACTCTGTCCGGTAATACCAATTCCTTTATTTAAGTAAATATATTTAATTATATAATGTTATATATTTATAAAATTATTTCCTAAAATAAAACCTCTGACCTATTTTTAAATTAAATAATTCCAACTATTGCAATAAAAAAGTAAAATGTTTAAATCGAAATAAGGAAAGGCTCAACGCAAGACATAATATGTCTGCGTCTGTACCTCTCCTTTATGGAACTACTCAACGCTAGTCAAAAATGACTGCGTCTGTGTAGAACCATAATACAGAAGTTTCTTTTACTTTTTTATTATTTTTTATTTTCAAAAATTCAATTATTTTACTTTTATTTTACAAAAATTCAACTCCCAAATTAAATAATTCTAACTATTGAAATAAAAAAGTAAAAAAGTTCAAATCGAAACAAGAAAAGGCTCAACGCAAGACTTATGTCTGCGTCTGTACCTTTCCTTTATGGAACCACTCAACGCTAGTCAAAATGACTGCGTCTGTGTAGAACCATAATACAGAAATTCAAAAATATTACTTTTTTATTTCACAAATTAATATACCTAATTCTAAATATAAAAAATTTTTTACCCCAGCAGCATTTCTTTCACCGTATTTTTCAAGCAAAGCTGGACACTTTGATTTTGGATGGTCCAGATGTTTGCAACGGTTTTTTTGAACAACCGGTAATATACGAGCAGCTTCATTAATACCACGAGGAACATTGTCTAAATTATACATTTTAGAATGCTTGAAAATATAACGGGTTTTTCTAAAACCTGGTATGTCGACCTCCTCCTCAGGGAAGACCTCTTCCTCATTTACAATAACCTCCTCCTCCTCCTCTACAGCTTCATTTAAAATAACAATAGTTTCGTTGAAAGAAACTTCTTTTCCTAATAATTATTGATTACTATTCATTTTTTATAAATAGATGATTTTACTTTGTTTAAAGCCTTCAGCATCGGTGTCCCGCTGAGAGTCGGTCTCAGTTTGAATAGCACCTTTTCCCATTTTTTTAACTTTTTTTTTCAAAGGTCCTACAATATTATGTAGGATTATAAAAAAATTATAATAATATAAACCGGATTTAGTAATTGATTCGAGTGAGCAAAGAGTTGGTGGGGCGACTCGGCGTCGCGGTTGATCGACTTGATATAAATATAGATAAAAACTTTTTTAAAACCTGGGGGTTGTATTGAGGAGGAACAGCTTTGGACATAACTTCCATGCGGGAGTCCTATATTCATTAGAAAATTTGAAATAATTAGAATAAAAAGTACTTGTTTGGGAGCGGGTATAAGGTTTCTCGTACGGATCGTTATCGTCTGAATTTAATTAAATTAATATGTATCTATATACATAAATAAAACTAACATTCAGAGTCATCAAATGTTTCCTCTACTTTCTTTTTTAAACCAAGTTGTCTTGACCTGCCTGTCATTTTAGTTATTATAGACGAACAGCTGTTTGCACTTCACGAGAAGAGATGGTAGAGCGCTTGTTGTAATGCGTAAGTCACGAAGTCTCAGTAATAATTAACACGGACAGGTTAAATAATCCCAACAATAGTTGTTGAAGGAAAATGTTTAAAAAGAAATTTTTTAAATTAAATTAATCAAAACAACTCAAAAAATCAAAAAAATTTGATTAAGTTGAGTGAATTTTATTAAAAAAAAACATTTTTCCCAAAATTTATCTAATTTTTGGAAAAATTTTTCATGGTTAAGTGGTATACTGTTGGGGATTTTAAGAGCAAGGTTTGAACCCTTTTGGGTTTATAATTTTTAAAACTATATAAAAATTTGCACCTCACGAGAAGAAATAGTAGAGCGCTTGTTGTAATGTGCAAGTCGCGAAGCCTCAGAATCCTTAGAATAAAAATAATAGCTTAAATAAAATGTTAAAAAGAAATTTTTTGATTAAAATTAATCGAAATATTTTAATACTGGGAAAATTTTTCATGGTTAAGTGGTATACTGCTGGAATTTTTTAGGTGTGAGGTTCGAACCCTTGGTGGTCTATAATTTTTAAAACTATTTGAAAACAATATAATTTACCTTTATTTTCCAATGGAAGTGTTTTTTAGACGAACAGCTGTTTGCACCTCACGAGAAGAAATGGTAGAGCGCTTGTTGTAATAATCAAAAATTGTTTAAATATTTATGAAGAAATTAGTAAAAATTTGTCAACAAATTTTTAAAAAACTTAAAAATATAATTTTACAATTTTTTATAAAAATTTAAAAAAATCTGAAAAATTAATAAAAATGATGAAAAAATTTTTTATACATTATTATTTATGCAATCAATCGAAGGAGAGAAGAAAAGTACTCTGAGAAAAACGCTTGGCGTCTTTTCTCAGTGTACTTTTCTTCTCCCCTTTTCCCTTCTTCTACCTAGGCATAGAATTATTTAAATTATTTTTTACTAAAAAATAGAATAAAATTTTTCGCACACAATTTAACACCTTAAAATTTTCCTTTGCCCTTCACACAACCAATTTGTCAACAATTAGTACATTAAAAATTTCCCCCTTACCCCCTCCCTTAAACCAATTTATTTTACAAATTGTTTCCAAATACCCCCTGCCTGAACCAATTAGTTAAACAATTAGCATCTCTTGATAATAAAAGTTCCCCCTTACCCCCTCCCCAGTCAATTAGTCAACTAATTAACACCTTGAAATCCCCTTACACCCAACCCCGACCAATTAGTAAAACATTTAATTTTTTCCCCTTACCCCCTCCCCAACCAATTAGTAGAACAATTAGCACCTCGAAATCCCCCTTACACCCAACCCCGACCAATTAGTAGAACAAATTGCTTTCCCTTGCCCCCTCCCCCTAATTAATTCAAAACACCCCATTAGGATTGGATTTACCCTTACCCCCTCCCCCATCGCGCGCCAAAACCCTTCAATAGGCTGACGTTTATGGGGGCGGACCCCTCCCCCAACCAGACCCTTCAATAGGTTGGCGGCATTTTCCTTTGATACGGTTACGGGAGGGTAACTACTGTCGTAGGGTAATAAAATTCACTTTTTTGCTCAATCCCCAAATTTTTTCCATTTTTTTGTTTCAGGGGGGGGGGGGTGAATTCCCCTACTCTTTCCCCATGTTGCAGGCCTACACCCATTTATAGACCGGATAAAAGCCTAAAAAACGTCTAACATGTATTTTTAAAGATATGGTCTTGTGCACAGACTGTCACCCAACAAAAAATATCATTGCTTCGGGCGGGCTAGAAAATGATCGAACAATACGTTTATGGACGAGTGATTATTAAAATGGAGAATTTTGTGCGTGGAAGTTATTTTTTAATATAAAATCTCAATTTGTGTAAGAATTTTTTCGATTATTTAATGGTTTTTTTGTAATTTTTTAATAAAAATGAGGTCACTTTTTTATAAAAAAATTAGGAATACTTTAACTAACCCGAATTCCTCTCAACACCCTGAAAATGCTTAAAATAGGCCAGCCCGCAAAAAAATCGTCAAAATGGCAATTTGTGGGGAAATTTTTTTTGAGATTTAGAGCAGGGGTGAGCGCATTGCGTCAAATTTTTGCCTTGCGTTGCGTTTTTGAGATTGTTTCTTGCGCTCACCCCAGATCCAGACTAATTTTGCGGACAAAATAACTGGGACGATGACTTTCTGATTTTCATCAGTCATTGACTTCACGTCCTTCGACAGGCCCGCGTCCCTCTTTAAAGTCAAAAACCTGGGAGAGAAATAAATTTTTAAATATTTATACATTCAATTCCACTACCAGAAATGATACAACTAAAACCTTTTTTATTCCTTTCATTCAATTTATTTATTGTTCGATTAGGTAAAACAATTAAAGCTGCTGGGTCAGAAATTGAAAGGCAAATTTGGATTTGAGGAATTAACTAAAAATATATAAATTAATTTTTAGGATCTCGTTCGTCATAAGACCCTCGAAAAAAATCCGCAAACTTTTGCGGACAAAAAAGTCAACGAAAATTTTCCTGATTCAAAAAAAAATCCGCAAAAAAATTTGCGGATTTTTTTATCCAAGTACTTTATGAGGTGGTATAATTTAAATCTTGAAACCTCATTTTTGTCAGGAATATAATTTCCAATACAAAGTCGGCAGTCTAAAGCAACACTTGCAATTACTAAGGTTGAGTCTTGAATTGAAGATTTCCAAATTTTAAGCGCTAAAAATAATTTTTTTTATAAATTTAAAAAAAATTCAAGTCGGAATTTTTAGAAAATTCAATAAAATTTAATTTTTGCGGACAATCCGCAAAAATTTTCAAAAAAAATTTTTTTTGAAAAAAATCACAATTTGAAAATTTTTCCTTTCAGAAAAATCCGCAAAAATATTTTTGCGGACTTTTCTCATAATTTTTTTTCAAAAAAAAATTATCAGTAAAACAATCCGCAAAAATTCTAAAAAAATCCGCAAAAATTTTTGCGGACAAATTTTTGCGGACTTTTATTATGATTTTTTCAAAAAAAAAATATCAGTAAATCCGCAAAATTCCGTCCGCAAAAATCCTAAAAAGTCCGCAAAAATCCAAAAAAAAATCCGCAAAAATTCTAAAAAATCCGCAAAAATTTTTGCGGACAAATTTTTGCGGACTTTTATAATTTTTCAAAAAAATTTTCAAAATTAAAAAACCTGTTATAGTAGAGGCATGTAAATTAACAAAAATATTATTTTCCACATTTCCAAGTAGAGAATCAAATGTTAAAATTGAGATTGAACCCGATTCTGAACCAATAAGGATAAAATGTTGATGATTATTGAAGAGAGAGATTTCAGAAGAAATAACGGAAAGTCCGCATTTTTCAACCAAATAAGGCTCATTTAATAAATCCTAAAAATAAATAAAATTTTTAGTTAGTTAAAAATTAATTTTGCGGATTTTCTTCCAAATTCTTCAGCAAAGAATAAAAAGGGAAGAGAAAGTGACTAAGAAAAAATAGCAAAAAATACTAAAATGTCCGCAAAAATTTTGCGGACACTTTTTTGTTTGCGGACAGGTTTTACGGACAATCTTTTGTGGACAATGTTTTCTGTGAAAGAATTCAGCAAAAAAGCCCATAGAAAATTCTTTTAGCAATATTTAGTACAAAATCCGCAAAAATATTTGCGGACAAATCCGCAAATCTTTTGCGGACAAAATCCGCAAATCTTGAAAAAAATCCGCAAATCTTTTGCGGACAAATCCGTAAATTTTTTTGCGGACAAAATCCGCAAATCCTGTTACGGACAAATCCGCAAGTTTTTTGCGGACAAAATCCTCAAATATTGAAAAAAATCCGCAAATCCTTTTGCGGACAATCCGCAAAAAATTTGCGGACAAAATCCGCAAATTTAAAAAAAAATCCGCAAACTTACAATTTTTGTTGTTCCATTTGTTAATATCAACAATTTAAAAATATATAAATATCCTGAAGTTGTAGTTGAAAAAAGAAGTTGAGAAGGAGAGGTTGTCGTCCCTTCAATTAATCCAGCCAAATTTATAGAACTAAACATTGCCATAGAACAAAGTTGGAAACGACTGGATTCGACAATTGATTTTGTCAAGTAATTTAATTGTAATATTCTTAAAAAGAAAAGTTGGCTTCCTCCAAACATTTAAAAAATTAGAAAAAAATTTGCGGACAAATTTTTTCCGCAAAAATTTTGCGGACAATTTTTTTGCGGATTTCTACTTGTCCGCAAAAATTCTACAAAATTCTGCGGATTTTTTGACTATAGAAAAGATCCGCAAATCTTTCCATCAGATTCTCCGCGAACTTTTTTAACTATGAAAAAATCCGCAAAATTTTGTCCGCAAGTTTTTTGCGGACAAAATTTTTGCGGATTGTTTGACAATAGAAAAGATCCGCAACTTTGACCTACAATTTTCCTCGGACTTTTTTTAACTATGAAAAAGTCGCTAAATTTTGTCCGCAAGTTTTTTGCGGACAAATTTTTTTGCGGATTTTTTGACTATCGAAAAAATCCGCAAATCTTTCCATTAGATTTTCCGTGGACTTTTTTGACTATAGAAAAAATCCGCAAATTTTGTCCGCAAAAAATGCGGACAATTTTTTACGGATTTTTTGAAAAGAAAAGTTGGCCTCCTCCACTCATTTAAAAAAAGAGTAAAAAATGCGGACAAATTTTTATCCGCAAAAAATTTGCGGACAACTTTTTTTCGGATTTTTTGACTATAGAAAAAGTCGCTAAATTTTGTCCGCAAAAAAATTTGCGGACTTTTTTTAATTATGATGAGATTGTCTGCAAGTTTTTTGCGGACATTTGACAAAAAAAGGTTGTCCGCAAATTTTTAACTCAACCTCTCCTAAACTTTTAAAAAACCTTATTGTAGCATCAGAACAAAGAACCACTGCAAATTTTCTTCTACCAAAAATCCAGCGAACACAAAGGACACGAATATCATCAATATTATTTTCATTTTTCAATTCGGTAGAAAAAAGTAAATTAAATTGGGGCGCATTTTGCTCTAAAAATTTATTTTTAAATTTCTAAAAAATGTAATTTTTTAAATTTTTTTTACTAAAAATTGGCCCTTCCTTGTAAGTACACCTTTAGGGGAGAAATGTGCACTTTTGGTAGGTGTACTTACAAACAAGGGCGTAGCCAGGAGCAGGCCATCTTACCGCGAGCCCAACTTACTGCAGAGCTATAACTTTGTCCAGAATTGTCAAATCCGGGAGGCCCTGGTATGGTTCGATGCGCCTCGACGAACTGAATCGAACCATACTAGGCATTCCCAGATTCGACCATTTTGAACGAAGTTATAGCTCTGCGGTAAGTTGGGCTCGCGGTAAGTTGGGGGTGTACCCGCGTAGCCAGAGGGGCTTCTGAGGCTAAAGCCCCCCCCTCCCCCCCCCTCCCTCGAAATTGAGAAAAGGGAAAATTTTGAGGGGATTGGACAAAAAGCGAATTTTTTTCGCCTATGCCCGTCCAAATTAAAAAAATTTTTTTGCCTGCGCCGCTTAAAAATGAAAATATGGTTCAAAAAAATTTGCGTTATGAACACCAAAGTAAACGCCAAACTTTTGGCGCACACCCAATTTTAGCCCCCTGAAATCGACCCTCTAGCTATGCCCTTGCTTACAAGTGAGGTTTTACCTATATAAAAATTATTCTATTTAAAAAACCTTCAAAAAATAATTCCCAACAAAACAATTCTGAACGTCCCCCACCGCTTAACACCAAGAAATTTGAATTTTCTTGTAAAACACAAATTGTTTCCACACTTGAACGATGCATTTGGACAGAAGAATTAATTTTAAATCCTGAAAAAATTAAAAATTAATACGAAAAAATTCTTGTCCGCAAAAATTTTGTCCGCAAAAATTTTGCGGACTTTCTTATTTTAAATTTTTTGTTCGCAAGTCTTGTCCGCAAAAATTTTGCGGACTTTTCTATTAAAATTTTCTGTCCGCAAGTCTTGTCCGCAAAAATTTTTGCGGACTTTTTTATTTAAATTTTTTGTCCGCAAGTCTTGTCCGCAAAAATTTTGCGGACTTTTTATTAAAATTTTTTGTCCGCAAATTTTTGTCCGCACAAATTTTGCGGACTTTTTCCTTAAAAAATAAAAAAACCTCGATCTTCATTAAAATTGGAGCAAACAATTTTTCTATCAAGAGAACCACTCAATATAAAATAAGCTCCATTTTGACTGAAAAAGTCAAGAGTTGTAATGTTTTCTGAGTGAGGGATTGGCTGAAAAAAATTCATTTTATTAATTTTTTATTAGAAAAATTTTTTTGTCCGCAAATTTTTGCGTACGTCCGCAAAAATTTTGCGGACTTTTTTGCAAAAATTTTTCTAAAATTATTTTGCGGACTTTTTGAGTTTTACTGGAAATTTTTTTGTCTGCAAAAGATGTCCGCAAAAAAATTGCGGATTTTTTATTTTTAAACTAAAAATTAAAAAAAAATAAACCTTTACAAAATTTAAAAACAGCGGTTTGAGAATATCACAAAAGAATGAACCTTTTTGAGCATAAAACAAACTGAAAAAATTGCATAAATCTGCAAAAAAATTTTTGCGGACTTTTTAAAAGAAAAACGTTTTGTTATAGAAATTATGTCAAAAAAAATTTGTCCGCAAAAAAATTTTTTGTCCGCAAAAAATTTTTTGTCCGCAATAAAATTTTTTGTCCGCAAAAATTGTCTGCAAAAAAATTTTTGCGGACTTTTCCACCAAAATATATTTTTAATTGAATTGTCCGCAAAAATTGTCCGCAAAAAAATTTTCGTCCGCAAAAATTGTCCGCAAAAAATTTCGTCCGCAAAATTTTTTGTCCGCAAAAATTGTCTGCAAAAAAATTTTTGCGGACTTTTCCACCAAAATATATTTTTAATTGAATTGTCCGCAAAAATTGTCCGCAAAAAAATTTTCGTCCGCAAAAATTGTCCGCAAAAAATTTCGTCCGCAAAATTTTTTGTCCGCAAAAATTGTCTGCAAAAAAATTTTTGCGGACTTTTCCACCAAAATATATTTTTAATTGAATTGTCCGCAAAAATTGTCCGCAAAAAAATTTTCGTCCGCAAAAATTTTGCGGACTTTTTTTTAAAATTATTTCAAACGACTTTTTAAAGAGTCCGCAAAAATTATCCGCAAATATTTTAATTAAAAATTTATTAAAAAATACCAAAGTTCATCATTTTCCAAAAATGTTCCTTTCCAAAGTTGCCATAAACGTTTTCCCCCTCCCACCAAATATTTACGACAGATGATAGAATTTGTAGTTTCATCAAACATAACAAAATAATTCTTTAAAAAAGTATTTTAATTAATTTTTTAAAATTAAAAATTAAACATTTTGAAACCCAGCAATTAGTGAACGTCCTCTATAATTTTTTATAAATTCACAAGGCCATTCAAAATTTAATTTGAAAAAGGAAATTAATTCGAGTGAAGATTTGCCTTAAAAAAGAAGGAAAAAAAGAGTGAAAGTCTGCAAAATGTGTCCGCAAAAATTTTTTGTCTGCAAAAGTAAAAGTCCGCAAAAATTTGTCCGCAAAAATTTTTTGTCCGCAAAAGTAAAAGTCCGCAAAAATTTGTCCGCAAAAATTTTTTGTCCGCAAAAATTGACCCCAAATGTAAAAATACGCAAATTGTGTCCGCAAAATGTGTTCGCAAAAGTAAAAATCCGCAAAAGTTGTCCGCAAAGATATTTCTGTCCGCAAATGTAAGAATCCGCAAACCTCGTCCGCAAATTTTGTCCGCAAAAGTAAAAATCCGCAAAAGTTGTCCGCAAAACTTAAAAATGTCCGCAAAAATTGTCCGCAGAATTTTTTTGTCCGCAAATGTAAAAATCCGCAAACTTTGTCCGCAAAAAAATTAATAAAAAATTCCCTAACCTTTATCAATCTCCTCGTTAAAATTCAATCTCCACTTCTTCACATTTCCATCCCTTCCAATAGTACGAAACTCAGCCTTGTTATTTTCACAGATTTCAATTGCTGTCACTGTGTCTGTTCCATGTGCATTTCCAAGTGAACATAAAAGTTTGCCGTTTGGTTGTTTAATGGAAAATACCAATAAAGCACCCGATCGAGTGCCCAATATGAGAACCGAAACAAAAAAATTTTAAATTAAAAAGATCTTTTTAATAGTATAGCCTCACTATAAGATACCCCCTTGGAAATAATTAAGAAAAATTGATAAAAATGTTTTTGCAGATGTCCGCAAAAATTTTGCGGACGTTTTTTCTGATGTTGAAAAAATTTGCGGACATCTGCAAAATTGTAAGGAAAAATATTTTTGCGGACGTCCGAAAAAAATATCCGCAAAATTTTTGCGGACGTCCGCAAGTTTTTGCGGACATTTTTTGCGGACTTCCGCAATTTTTGTGGACAAAGTGAAGCGTATCCCGTATCGAGGGTATCTTATAATGAGATGTGAATGTATTTACTTTTCCGAGAAGAGATGATTAAAGCACTTTGAGGTAATGATTTACGGCTGCTAGTTGGAGGAAGCATTGAAAATGTGCAGAAAATAACACAACAGGTATTCTTGTCAACATTTGAATTACATTTGTATAGGGCCTGAAAAAAAAAAAAATTTTGTCCGCAAATAAATTTTAAAATAAATTTTTTTTTATTTTAAATAAAATTTTTTTTAATTTTTTCAAATAAATTTTTTTTTTCAAATGAGTTATTTTCAAAATCTCTTGTCCGCAAAAAGTTTTGCGGACGTCCGCAAATTTTTGCGGACAAAAAATTTTCTTGTCCGCAAATAAATTTTATTGTCTGCAAAAATCTTGCAAACAAAATTATTTTCAAAAATCTTTTTTGCGGCCAAAAAAATTGCGGACGTCGCAAAAATCTTGCGGACATCCGCAAAAACTTGCGGACAAAAAATTTTTGCGGACAGAATTTTCTTTCCTAAAAACTAGAAAAAAAAATAAATTTAAAAATAAACCGCTTTTCCAGTATATTCCAAAGAAAATAAATAGGCACAATCTTCAAGTAAATCATCTGAATTAATCCAAAGAATTTGAGCAAAATTTCCATCAAATCGAATAAAGAAAAAATCAAAAAGTTGTTGCCCAATTGGAAAAACTGGAAAAAATTTTTAAATATTATTTCGAAGAAAATCTGCAAAAAATTAGCGGACAAAAAAATTTTTTGTCCGCCAAAATTTTTTTAATCCGCAAAAATCGTCCGCAAGTTTTTGCGGACAAAAATTTTTTTCAAATCTTTAATTGCCAAATTTCATGCACTTGATGTACATACAATAACCAGAAAAATTTTTTTAATCCGCAAAAATTGTCCGCAAGTTTTTGCGGACAAAAAAATTTTTCAAGTTTTTTTTTAAATCAGCAAAAATCGTCCGCAAGTTCTTGCGGACAAATTTTTTTAAACTTTGATTGGCAGATTTCATGCAGTTAATGTACAATAGCAAGAAAAAAAAAGTTCAAAAATGCGAAAAAATTTTTGTGGACAAAAATTTTTTCAATCTTTAATTAAATACGCAAAAATCGTCCGCAAGTTTTTGCGGACAAAAATTTTTTTCAAATCTTTAATTGCCAAATTTCATGCACTTGATGTACATACAATAACCAGAAAAATTTTTTTAATCCGCAAAAATTGTCCGCAAGTTTTTGCGGACAAAAAAATTTTTCAAGTTTTTTTTTTAAATCAGCAAAAATCGTCCGCAAGTTCTTGCGGACAAATTTTTTTAAACTTTGATTGGCAGATTTCATGCAGTTAATGTACAATAGCAAGAAAAAAAAAGTTCAAAAATGCGAAAAAATTTTTGTGGACAAAAATTTTTTCAATCTTTAATTAAATACGCAAAAATCGTCCGCAAGTTTTTGCGGACAAAAATTTTTTTCAAATCTTTAATTGCCAAATTTCATGCACTTGATGTACATACAATAACCAGAAAAATTTTTTTAATCCGCAAAAATTGTCCGCAAGTTTTTGCGGACAAAAAAATTTTTCAAGTTTTTTTTTTAAATCAGCAAAAATCGTCCGCAAGTTCTTGCGGACAAATTTTTTTAAACTTTGATTGGCAGATTTCATGCAGTTAATGTACAATAGCAAGAAAAAAAAAGTTCAAAAATGCGAAAAAATTTTTGTGGACAAAAATTTTTTCAATCTTTAATTAAATACGCAAAAATCGTCCGCAAGTTTTTGCGGACAAAAATTTTTCAAAATTTTTAAATTTAAAAATTTCTTTAATGTTTAATAAACCTTTTAAAATATTCAAAGAATTTTGTGAACAAACAGCAACAAGTTGAACCTTTTGAGAATAAATAAAAAGATCTGGACGAAATTCTTTATCATCAATTAGCAATTCAGAATTAATTTTATTAGAAATTAAATTTAAGGGATTTAAAGTCCATTGAATTTTTTGTGAATCAAAACATAATTGATGGACAGAAAATTGCCTAAAAAGTAAATCTAAAAATAGGGCAAGATTAGATCGATAGTTTTGAGGACAAATATTTGCGGACAAAAATTTGCGGACAACAATTTTTGTCCGCAAAATTTTGCAGTTTTGTACAACAATTTGCAGACATTTTTGCAGACAAGATTTTTTGTGGACGAATTTTGCGGATAAATTTTTTGTCATAAATCCGTAAGTTTTTGCAGACTGCTAAAACAGGCAAAAATTTGTGGACATTTTTAGACAAGTTACGCTCATTTTTGCGGAAAATCAACATATTTCAAAAATGTCCGCAAATCTTGTCCGCAAAATTAGTTTAAAAAATCCTCAAAAATTTCAGTATGTAAAAAATAGCGAACATTCCTCATATTTTACAGATTTTCAAAAATTTTTAAATATAAACCTTAACTCGTCCAGAGCAAACAACATTGAGAAAGGATTTTTACTTTTTGTTACAACAAATGCATTTAGGTTCAAGCCAAATTCAAAAACATGTTTTGGCTCTAAACCAGAAAAATGATCATCAACTTCAGAAAGAGGAAGACGAACATTAACCAAAGCACCCATCCGAGATGAAATTAACTGTAAAAAGGAAATAAAAAAAGTCCGCAAATTTTTTTGCGGACATCCGCAAAATTTTTTTAATTTTTTAAAAAATACCAGATTAAGAATCTTCGAATCATTTTTAAAAATTGGAAGAATGCTTTGAATCGTGCCAAGTGAATCAGAACCAAATTCAATACGTCTTTCCGGCCTCAAGTCAATTCTTTTATGATCCTCATCCTCTGTTAAAAAATAATTATACAAACAGACCTCACTATAAGAAGCTGAAAAATCCTATCTTATAATGAGGTTATCAAGTAATGAGAATGATTTTTGAACGAATTTTAGGAGTATTCTATAGTGACCATTTTTGTGGATGTCCGCAAATTTTTGCGGATGTCCGCAAATTTTTGCGGATTTTTTTTTTATATAGGGGTATGACGTAGGTGGTTTCCTCACGCAGCGGGCGTCTGACAGTGACAACCCATAAAAATATTTGCGGACAATTTTTGCGGATGTCCGCAAATTTAAATTGAGGTCCAACGGTGTTACATATAAAAGAATCTATAAAAAAACCTGTCCATCGCCATATATTTAAGTACTCATCAACCCCACCCGTAAAAACCATTTTTTCTCGTTCAAAAAGTTCCAGCACAAAAGGGCGAGCACCGTGTCCATATATTTCGCCAATCTTAAAAAGTTAAATAAATTTTTAAATAAATTAAAAAAAAAACCTGAAGTCCATCCATTGTCCAAACACGAAGTGCTCGATCATCCCCTACGCTAAACAACCAATCCCGATGACGACGAATGGCAAAAGGCATTCCCTAAAATTTAAATTTTTTATTTAAAGATTTTGTCCGCAGAAATTTTTAAGTGTCCACAAATTTTGTCTGCAAAAAATTTTTTTGTCCGCAAAAATTATTTTTCTGTCCGCAAAAAAATTTTTTTGTCCGCAAAAAGTTTGTCCGCAAAAAAATTTTTTCGTCCGCAAAAATTTTTTTTGTCCGCAAATATTAATTTTTGTCCGCAAAAAATTTTTTTGTCCGCAAAAATTATTTTTCTGTCCGCAAAAAAATTTTTTTGTCCGCAAAAAGTTTGTCCGCAAAAAAATTTTTTCGTCCGCAAAAATTTTTTTTGTCCGCAAATATTAATTTTTGTCCGCAAAAAATTTTTATTTGTCCGCAAAAATTTATTTTGCGTACGCAAAATAAATTGAATAAATAAAAATATTTCCAGATAAAAATTGTAAGAAAAAATAAAACATTTGCCCATAGAGGAATCGAACCTCCAACAAAAAAGGTGAAAGTCAACAACTCTAACCACTACACCACCGATGAATTTAGTTAACCACTCAAAATAAATTATTATAAGGACAGGAGAAATAATGCAATATTAAGGGCAGTAAGTTCAACTGAGTCCCGACCCTATAACTCAAGTTCGGGTTGATAATTTTTAATGATTTTGGTACCATTGGATATAGCATTAGATGAACTATAATATACCAAAAAATCAAAATTTTCGATTGATTGGTAAAAAAGTTATGATCTAAAAACTACCCTTTTCAAGAAAATCTGAATTTTCGGCACTTTATCGATCATAACTTTTTTACCAGTCAGTCAGGAATTTTGATTTTTTGGTATATTGTAGCCCATTTAATGCCCTATCCAATGGTAGCAAGAATAAAAAAATTGACCATCCCTTCATAAGTTATAAGGTCCGGGACTCAGTTTAGTCGGGACTCAAGTACAGCTAATTTTTAGAATTTCCCCCACATTCAAAATTTCTAAAAAACAAAAGGAAACTTGAAAACCTAATTTTAAAAATTAATTAAAATATACATTATTTCCTTCAAATGTCCGCAAAATTTCCACTCCGTTTTTAGACGGCCAAAATTGATTTATATGGCCAAGAGAAGTACCAGCAAATATTTGTAATGATTCCCAGCTGTTACCGTCCAATAAAGAACAAGTTCTTAAAAAAATATAATTTTGATTAGAAAAATGAAAAATTATTAAAAAAAAAGTCCGCAAATTTTTGTCCGCAAAAATGAAAAAAATTTTTTTGTCCGCAAAAATATTTTTTTGTCCGCAAAAATATTTTTTTGTCCGCAAAAATAAATTTTTTTGTCCGCAAAAATATTTTTTTGTCCGCAAAAATATTTTTTTGTCCGCAAAAGTTTTTTTGTCCGCAAAATATTTTTTTGTCCGCAAAATTTTTTTATCCGCAAAAATATTTTTGTCCGCAAAAATATTTTTTGTCCGCAAAAATATTTATTGTCCGCAAAATTAAACTTTTGTCCGCAAAAATATTTTTTTATCCGCAAAAATATTTTTTTATCCGCAAAAAATTTTTTGTCCGCAAAAATATTTTTTTGTCCGCAAAAATATTTTTTTGTCCGCAAAAGTTTTTTTGTCCGCAAAATTTTTTTATCCGCAAAAATAAGCTTTTGCGGATAAAATTTATGCAGATTGTCCGCAAGCTTTATGCGCAAAAATAAATTTTTGTCCGCAAAAATTTTTTGTAAACTAAAAATTTTTTTGGATCGATCAGAATAAAATTACAAAACCAACATAACTGATCGTCCTTTTAAATAAAGCTGACATTTTGTTTGAATATTTGAAAAGTTGGATAAATCGAGTAATTTAATTGAATTAGTTGCAAAATGAAGGACAATCTAAATTTAAAAAAATAAAATCGACAGGATTTTTGCGGACAATATTTGCGGACGAATTCCCTAATAAGTTAAAAAATATCGCAAGAAATTTGCGCCCGCAAGAAATTTTTTGTCCGCAAAAATTTTTTGTCCGCAAAAATTTTTTGTCCTCAAAATATTTGCGGACATCCGCAAAAAATTTGCGGACGTCCGCAAATTTTTTTTTCCGCAAATAAAATTTGACACCAGCAAGAGTAAATCAAACAAACATTTTTATAAAAGTATCATCAAAATTTGTTCGCTGATATGTATTGTCCGCAAAAATTCAGAGATGGAAACAAGACATTAAATATAAAAATACCCCAGTTCTATCAACACATTTTGCGCCAATTATCCAATCATCAAAATATAAATTTTGGTGGTTTTTGACAAGAAATTTCAAATCAGTTCTATCGAGACATACAATTTGGCATTCTCGTTCACCAACACAAAATAATGCTTAAATTTAAAAATTAAAAAAAATTTGTCCGCAAAAATTTTTTGTCAGCAAAAAAAATTTTTTGTCCGCAAAAAACTTTTGCGGACATCCGCAAAAAAATTTTCTTCTGCAAAAATTTTTGCGGACATGTGCAAAAAAATTTTTGTCCGCAAAAAACTTTTGCGGACGTCCGCAAAAAATTTTTTGTCCGCAAAAAACTTTTGCGGACATCCGCAAAAAATTTTTTTGTCCGCAAATTTTTTTACGTTTTTTAATTAAGCAAACCGTCATTTTCCAACCAAATAATTTTTTGAACAGAAGATTTTGTATTAGAAAAGATATCCAAAGTTGAAAGAAGTTCAAATTTGTCAAAATCCTCATCAGCCGATTGACTATAAACTCGATAAATTTCAACAGTATTTCCATGGCCTATAAAAATAATCGGATCTCATATAAATAGCCGAACCTCACTACAGATAACCGCAATACTACACTCTATTTAAAAAACTATTTTAAATTCCGTCCGCAAAAAATTTGCGGACACTTGCGGATGTCCGCAAAAATTTTTGCGGACATCCGCAAGAATTTTCCTCAAAAATTTAAACCAAGGGACATCCTACAACGAGGAATCAACTAAAAATAAAAACCTGAAAAAATTATAACTTCATTTGAATCATCCAATTCCTGCATTTTCAACTCTTCTAAACAAAGTCTTTGACCAAAAAATAATGAGCTTGTGTGTTGCATCAATAATTTACAGGGTGCGGCAAATTTAGCGCCGACTTTGTTTTGGCTATAACTTTTTTAATTTTAAACGAAAATTGATAATTCTTTTTTTCCTGGATTCCCAACACTTTAGGAAAATTGTTGATACCAAAATCGTTTTTAAATTTTATAATTAAGTTTGATTAATTTTCTATCAAATTTCGAGCAAAAATTTTTGGATAAAATATGGCCTGGATTCAAGGCTATTATTTTAATTTATGAAGTTTATATATCATTCGAATCAGCTCTCCAATCTGATTCGAATGACGTCAAAATCAGGCGTCTATCACATAAATGGACCGAGATATGGCTCACTGAATGATAAATTAAACAAAGTTTGGCAAATACGAATTTTTTGTGTGAAATTTTCAAAAATGAGATTATTAGCTATTTCGATACGCCTGAACGAGATAAGTCGATTGGTACCAAAATTATTCGGATTGGATGATTTTGAACAAAGTTATGATCAATTAAACTTTGACATGAAAAATCCATTTTTACCCGTTTTTATGTTCGGACTCGTTTTTCATTGATATTCGCAAACAAAATGTTTATTATTTGGTACCAATAGATTTCCTAAAGTGTTAGGTGTAAAACAAAAAAAGAATTATCAATTTTCGATTAAAATTAAAAAAGTTATAGCCAAAACAAAGTCGGCGCTAAATTTGCCGCACCCTGTATATAAAATTTTTTGAAAATTAATAAAAAATAATTTCAAAAATAAGTTTTTGTAATTCAACAAATTTATTAAAAAATTTTTAAAAAATTCCCTCACCTGCCCCTACTCCGATTCGGTCATTTGAAAGAGTTTGGCGAACTGAGGTGAACTCAATACTGAGGCTAAAGACACCAAAACTGAGGCATTTCGGCCCTAAGGCATTTCCGAACCTAAAGGATGGTATTATTCGACTCATTTCGTCCGGCCCTTTCAAATGATATATCGTCTGTACGAATTGTAGTATGGGACTTATGACGGGATTTTTTCAAAATTTTATATAAATAAAAAATTATAAAAAAATTATTAAAACCTTTATCTACAAAAATTTTTAAAATTGTCCGCAAAAGCAAAAATTTGTCCGCAAAAATCCAAAAATTTTTTCTTCCTTCATTTATTGTAAACATAACATCGAGGAAATGCCTGCTCAACTTTTTCCAATTGTTCATGTAAAAATGCCAAAGCGTGCACATCCAGACTGAACACGCGACGTTGCCCATCTTTTGTAGTCAATTCCATTAAGAGTTCGTGGTCACCAGACTGGACTTGTCTTTGGGTTGAGGAGAGCTGGAAAAATTAAAAAATTTTGTTAATATTATCCGCAAATTGTAATATTTAGTTTTTGCTGATGTGCGCAAAAATTTGCGGATATCCGCAAAAAAATTGCGGACGTCCGCAAAAATATCGCGGACAAATTTTTCTTAAATAGGTGTATAATTGGTATTGGAGATATCTATAACTGAGGTTTGTCGGTACAGGCGACCCTCAATTATATACACACCTCTACTTAAGATAGGGGTTTTAAATTTGCTGGCCACTGGATGGGGAAATTTCCTAAACAATAACCCTTGAAATAAAACCTCATTCTAATGTAAGGTCCGTTGCAGACCCAAATGGGTATCTTATAGTGAGGTTAGATAGCAGTAGGCACCATTTTTATGGAAGATAGAACCTCATATTTAGTTTTTCCGCAAAAATTTTGCGGATTGTCCGCAAAAATCTTGCGGATGTCCGCAATTATTTTGCGGACAAATTTATGAGGATGTCCGCAATTATTTTGCGGACAATTCTTCTTAAATAGGATATAAGAGGTCCGATCTATTGGGCACCAGAACCGTCAGAAATCCCTAGAAAATAAAGTAAACAAACCTCACATTTATATCAAAACGAAACTTGCAATCCTTGTATTCACAAAAGATCGTCTCAGGTTGCAAAGGGTTTGTCGTTTTTGAATCAGCGATTGTGTTGGTGTTAGACTTGATTTCGTCGTTGCTAGTCATTATTTATTTATAAAAATCTGAATCAAATATTATTAAAAATTTAAAAAATTTTGCGGACAAATTTTGCGGACTATTTCTATTTTAAATATTGTCCGGAAAAATCTGTCTGCAAAATTTGTCCGCGAAAAAATTGTCAGCAAAACATTGTCCGTAAAAAATGTCCGCAAAAAATCTGTCTGCAAAAAAGTGCCACAGGAAAGTTGTCCGTAAAAAATCTCCGCAAAAAATCTGTCCGCAAAAATTGCCGCAGGAAAGCTGTCCGCAAGTAAACATCTATAAAGAAACAACATAAAAATATTAAAAATCGTTTAAATAACGACACAAAAAAAATTTAAAAATATTCCAACTAACATTTATAAATTATTAAATATTTTAAAAAATAAAATAAAAAAAAACCCTGAAAAATCACTTCGAATCACTCAATAATTCCCGACTCAACTGAGTCCCGGACCCTATAACTTATGAAGGGATGGTCACTTTTTGTTACTCTTGGTACCATTGGATAGGGCATTCAATAGGCTACAAAATACCAAAAAATCAAAATTCCTGGCCGACTGGTAAAAAAGTTATGATCGAAAAAGTGCCGAAAAATCAGATTTTTTAGAAAAAGTTGATTTTTAAATCATAACTTTTTTATCAATCGGTCAAAAATTCTGATTTTTTGATATGTTATAGAGCTTTTGATTCTCTATCCAATGGTACCAAGAACATTAAAAATTACAAACCTCTACTTGAATTATAGGGCCGGGACTCAGTTGAACTGCTCCGCTCGAATCACTCAATAATCCCTCTTTTCCTCAAGTCTTCTTTTGCTTCAGCCACTTCTTTAATTAATTCCTCTCTAGCATTTTTACAATCATTAAAGGTTGCGACGCCATAAATAACAGTTAACACAGCATAAATTCCGAGTGATCCGACCAAAATAAGAGGGGAATAAATAAGCAGTTGAATTCGTTGTTTAATTAGCCAAGGCATAAAATTGAAGAAAGAAGGCTTTAAAAATAAAGGCACGTTTCCATATTGAGGTCATGTTTTTGGCCATAACTTTTTTGATTCCTAACCGATTTAAATAAATTTTATATCATTCGAAAGCTCTTGAATTGAGGATTATTTGGTATATTCCGAATGCCAAAACGCCGAAATGCCAAACCCTCAAAACCGTCGAAATACCAAATAGGTAACAAATTGATAGCAACCTTCCCTATTGCTTGAGCAACATTCACATCTGTTGGCTTGGCACTTCGTCGGTTTTTGTGGGTTTGGTATTACGACACTTTCCGGGTTATTTTAGCTAGCAAGACCGTTTTGATCAAATCATCCTACCCAAAGTTGTAGCCGAATAACGATCAAAAATCACGATTGACTGAACTTACCCAAATGTAACTTTTTGTAGGATAATCTGATCAAAACAATCCTGTTAACTAAAATAATCCTCAGATTTAGAACTTTCGATTGATATATAAATTATTTAAATTGGTTAAGAATCAAAAAAGTTATGGCCAAAAATATAGCCTTGATACTGGAACGACGCCTAGAAAAGTAAAGAAAAAACCTTTAATAATAGAATTGTCCAAATTGTCAAAAAAGGCAAAAATCTTAGGAAAAATAAAGTCAATTGAGTTGCCATTTTAATTTTCTGAAAAATTTTTCTAAAAAATAGATATTTTTTTAATTAAAAATATTAAGAAATATCAGCGTGAGTTAAACGCGTGAGAAAAAAGGGCTCTACTCCAGTTTATGCGTCCAATCGACTTTTATGCGTCCAATGAAAAGAAAATTGGATTTTTCTTGGTATTGTAAAGTTGGGGTATGGCTCCAAACCATTTCTTCATGTTCGGGACCTACGTCCACGGGTTTGGGACCGTTCCTTACCCGACCCCTCGAAATTTCTGAAAGTTATAATCGTTTTTCTGAAATTTTAAAAAATTGGCTGTAACTTTAAAAAATTTCGAGGTATAGAGTAGGAAAATCTAATTTTCTTTTTATTGGACGCATAAAAGTCGATTGGACGCATAAAGCTGGAGTAGAGCCGAAAAAAGTACGCAAGATTTGTTCGCAAATCAGACTATCTATTTATTTCATCAGAGACCTTATATATCGGTTTTTGATAAAAAAAAATAGTATGACTTGCAGACAAAAGTTGCGGACTTTTAAGAGTATGGAAAAATAAACAATGAAAAACGTTTTTAAAGAAGTTTTTTAGTTAAATTTAACTACAAGATGAAAAAAATGTCCGTAAAAAATTACGGACAATTTTTTGCGGACTTTTGTTACAACGGCCTTATCAATAAAAATTTTTGCGGACTATATTTGCGGACATTTGACAGAAAAGGCTAATTATTCACAAAAGTCCGCAAAAATTGTCCGCAACAATTTTGCGGACTTTCTTTTCCAAAAGTCCGCAAAATTTTGTCCGCAAAATTTTTGCGGACAAAATTTTAAAAATTTGCGGACAAATTTTGCGGACAATTTTTAAAAAATTGACTTTTTAACAGAAAAGACTTTTTAACAGAAAAGTCTTCAATTTTAGTAAAAGTCCGCAAAAATTGTCCGCAAAAATTTTGCGGACTTTTAGAAAAATTCAAAATTTATTGCATTGTATTAGACGACGATTGTTGCTGTTGCTGCTCTTTCTTAACAATTTTTTGTTGATTTTCATTAAATCTATCTTTAGCGCTAATTAATCCTGCTCCATAATAAGTATATTGAGAATTCATCAAATCACTTGAAAAAATTTTTTTTTCAAAATAAATTTATTTAAAAATAACCTGTGATATTCCTTTTGAAATTTGCGACGTTTGCTGTGAATCTGAAGAAAAAAAATTTTTAACAAAAAATTTTGGAACGTCTTGTAATGCCAAGAACTTGAAATAACAAGCCCCCAAAAATGCTTAAAATTCCAAACTGAGCAAAAAGTTTACAAGCATTTTCCGGAAACTTCTTTCCGGATTTTACGGAAACCATTTCCAGAAGTTTATTAGTGTAAAAATATATTGGCGCTCAAATGCCAAATAACAAGAGCGCTCAACTGACCCCAATCGAAAGTTGGCTCTTGTCCAGTTTAGGCGTCCAATCGCACCTTTGAACGTCCAAACAACCTTTATACGTCCAATGAAACGTTTATACGTCCAAACAAATTTTTATGCGTCCAATCAATTTTTATGCGTCCAATCACATTTTTAAAGTACCCGGTTCTACACTAAATTACCGTAAAATCTACGGAAATCAAAGCTTTACTCACCCAGAGTTATAACACACATGCATATTACCAGACCGAAGGTTTTAACACATAGAACCGGGTACTTAAAAAATGTGATTGGACGCATAAAAGTTGATTGGACGCATAAAAATTCGTTTGGACGTATAAACGTTTTATTGGACGTATAAAAGTTGTTTGGACGTATAAAGGTGCGATTGGACGCTTAAACTGGACAAGAGCCTCGAAAGTTTTGGTTTTATTTGGTGCTTCAATCTTTTTTCCTCGGCTTGGTATTTCAAGCATTTTTGGGGGCTTGGTATTTCAAGCCTTGGTATTTCAAGATCTTACTGAAAATTTTTAATAAAAAAAACCTTCAAAATTTCTCTCAAATCTTGATCTGTTATTTGTTCTTCACCACCTTAAATAAATATATGGGCTTTATCGTGGTAAATTTTTGTGGATTTTTGATAGAAAAAAGCCAAGTCCGCAAAATTTCTTGCGGACGCTTGGGGCATTTGATCTCTAAAAAATTCAACAAGTTCCCCAAGAAATAAAAAATTATTTTAAAAAATACCAGAATCCGCATCAGATTCCTCCAACAATAAATCCAATAACCATTTCCTTTCTTCATCTACATCTTCTACGTTGTAAAGACATTTTTTGTCTTCCTTTTGTTTTTCAGTGTCATCTGCCCAAATATCCTTGAAAAAAATTTTTTTAATAAAGAATTTAAGGGATAAAATTTTTTCAATCCAAAGAAGTATCTCATAGTGGGGTCCCGACTTTTATAACAAATTACTTGCGGAAAATCCGCAATTTTTTTGCGGATTTTTCTAGTCCGCAAAATTTTTGTTATCATTTAGTCCCCAAATTTTTTTGGAGATTTTTTTAGTCCGCAAAAAATTGTCCGCAAATATTTTGCGGATTTTTTTATAGTCCGTAAACTGCCTAATAAAAGTCCGCAAAAATTGTTCGCGAATTTATTGAAAGTCCGCAAAATAAAAATAAAAGACCGAAAAGTTTTTGCGGATTCATTTAAAGTCCGCTAACTTAATAAGGACTTTTTTATAATCCGCCAAAAATTGTCCGCAAATTTTTTGCAGATTTATCTAAAGTCCGCAAACTTTTTAACAAAAGTCCGCAAAAATTTTTGCGGACTTTTGTTAAAATCTGTTCCTAAAAGCAATTTGCGGATAAAACTTGCGGACTTTTCAGAGGAATAAAGAATAAAAAAATCCTCCACATACATCAACTGACAAAAGATCCCTCTTTGCTTTTCCAGGAACATGTCTACTTCTAGCTACTTGACCAGCAGGACACATTGAAAGTGTACTTGGAATTCTACAAAAATTAAAAAAATTAAGTTCTAATTAAAGCCCTAAGCTTCTATTTCCCAATGGGCCCCTTGGGTGGGCGTCTATTAGAGAGTGGGGTTCCATTTTTCAAGAGGTCATTTTGAATGGGCTTCTATTAGAGAATAGGCGTTTGATTATGATTAGGCTCCTTAATTAGGCTTTTAATATAGCCGGGCGTCTATTAGAGAGAGGGCGTCTATTAGAGAGTGAGGCTCCATTTTTCAATATTTCGAATGGGCTTCTATTAGAGAGGGTGGGTTCTTAATTAAGACAAGCCCCCTTGAGTAAGCTACAAATATAGCCGGGCGTCTATTAGAGAGAGGGCATCTATTAGACCATCCAGGCACTTTCATAAATTAAAAAAACAAACTTGATTGGCTGATCAATTAACCGTCTCAATTGTTCGCAAAATTTAGTCATGTCCAACGCTTTTTCCAACTCTCTTAAACCCAGTGGTGGCGCTGCCCTTCTTTTTCTATTGTTGTTGCTGTTGTAAAAATGTTGTTGAGACGAAGAAGATTGTTGCGCTGATTGTTGTCCATGCAATGGAAAATTGGCTGACATTTTTGAAAAATTTTTGTCTGCAAAAAATTTTTTTTGTCCGCAAATATTTTTTTGTCCGCAAAAAATTTTTAGTCCGCAAAAATATTTTTAATCCGCAAAAAAATTAATTTGTCCGCAAAAATATTTTTTGTCCGCAAAAATTTTCTAATCCGCAAAAAAATTAATTTGTCCGCAAAAAAATATTTTTGTCCGCAAATAATGTCCGCAAAAATAATTATATAAATTTTCATGTAAGAGAATGTTCAAAACATTTAAAATAAATCATTCACAAAATAATAAACATAATTTATTAACAAATATATAGGTATATTTGAAAATCAACTAGAAAATTGTTCTAAAATTCACATTAAATTTAATTCATGTAAACACTTGTGCTTAAAGAAGATTTAGTCATTTTCAAGCTGACAAAATTTTTTGTTAAATATAAGGGGGTGCAGCATTTTAAAGTAAAAAAATCCGCAAAATTTTGTCCGCAAAATTTGTCCGAAAAAAAAAGTTAAAAGAAAAAAAGTCCGCAAGTTTATGCCAAAAAGTCCGCAAAAATAAAGATAAAAAAAACCAAAAAAATTCCTCAAATTTGTCCGAAAAAAAAGTTAAAAGAAAAAAAGTCCGCAAGTTTATGCCAAAAAAGTTCGCAAAATTTGTGTAGAATAAAATCCGCAAAATTTGTCCGAAAAAAAAGGTTTAAGGAAAAAGTCCGCAAGTTTTGCCAAAAAAAAGTCCGCAAAATAAAGATAGAAATTTAAAAAAGTCCGCAAGTTTTAGCCGAAAAATCCGCAAAATTTTTGTGCATGAAAATACGCAAACTTTGTCTGCAAAAAGCCAAGAAAAAAAAATCTGCAGAAATTGACAGAATGAAAATCCGCAAAAATACCCTTAAAATTCACCAAAAAATTGTCAGCAAGAAAAGGTTAGATCCTCCATTATAAATCCGTGTTCTCACCCAAATATTAAAAAATATAATACCATTAATTCCCAAAAAATTCAATTATAATCACGTGACGGAGAATTTCCACTGTTTCCACTACTTTCACGTCTATGCCCTTTCAATTCATATTCTGCTGTGTGCTTTCTTCCTTCTCTAATGTCCAAATTTCTGTTTTCACGTTCAAAAGTTTCAACCTTTAAAAAAGATTTGAGATCAAAGCGAGTTGGTGGCCCCGTCCGATCCAAAAAATCAAGTCGTGCATCAAAATTTTAGCCCGAAAAAAGACCCGGCCGGATCGGTACCGATAAAAATGAGGCCCAACAAATGACTCGAACATCGGTACGATTCGAAAACCCCAACTCTACTTGGGGGTTTGGTATTACGACTGTTTGGTATTTTGGCGTTTGGCATCACTGCACCATACCGAATGACTCTGTAAGGAAGGGAAGAGACCCGCTTACATTAAAATTAAAAAATGCTTATGTCAAATTGATTGGGAGTTCTTCACCTCCCTAAGAAAGTGTACTTCGTCCCATGACCGAAAATCCGCAAATCTCGTCCGCAGAAAAAGGTAAAAAAACGCAAGGAGCAACCATCCAGACAACAGCCCAATTGATAGAGCGTATAATCGTGGCAGAGGTGGGTCGGAATTCCGATTTCCGGTGTTTTTTTCCTTACAATTTCCAATTTCCAAAAAATTTTTTGATTTCCAATTTCCGAAAAAACTTTTGATTTCCGATTTCCGACACCTCTGACTGTTCCGACCCAACTCTGAATCGACCCAACTCTGAAAAACCTATCACTAACGGTGCTACAGCCCATTGCAATATCATTCATGAATGCGACAGTTGCGGACATAATTTGCGAATATTGGAGATCTTTAGAAATTTTACCGCCTTAATAACTAGTAGGACGGCGGTAAGCCTGCTAGGTGGTTGACAGATGCTCTTATACTATTTAAAAATCAAAAAAGAAAACCTGAACAAATAAATCTTCATTAGAATCGAATTCTATATCAGTAATTTCATTAAAAAGTAAATGAGGAGAAGGTAAATCTTCACAACCAATTCTACCAAAAAACGAGAGAATATTCACTAAAATTTGAGAAATTAATTGAAATAAAAAATAGGTTAACATGACCATAAAATACCCTCGTGGATCAAAAATAGCACCTAATAATGAAGTGTATCTTAAATAGAAGATATTGTTTAGGCAGATACTTCAACCAATATCCAACCGAAGATTAAAGAAACGTCTTCAATTGAAGCGTACCTATTATTGGGGGTATGTAATAATGAGCTCCGACAATACGACCCTCAATTGTGTATACACACCTCCATTTAAGATACGTTATTTAAAAATCAAGTTGGCATCTAAAAGGAGTCCTAAGATATACCCCCTATTTAAGATACACCTCTTTATAAGGAGCGACCTACCCTCTATTCAAGATACACCTACGTACAAGGGACGGCATTACCCTCTATTTAAGATAAGCTCATTATAAGGCCCGGTCGCACCCTCTATGTAAAATACACCCCATTATAAGGTGCAACCTTCCCTCTATTCAATATACGCCTCCATATGAGGGACGGCCTTACCCTATATTCAAGATACACCTACGTACAAGGGACGGCATTACCCTCTATTTAAGATAATCTCATTATAAGGCCCGGTCGCACCCTCTATTTAAAATACACCCCATTATAAGGTATGGGGTATCCTATAAGGGGTATCCTATAAGGAGGCCCCCCATAAAAAATAAAAAAATATACTAATATCCCTGTGAAGAAAACGAAGAGAAGACGGATGAGACAAATCCATTGCTTGAGCCAAATCAATTACATAAACAGTAGAAGAGTGGTACAACAAATTAAATTCGCTCAAATCGCCATGTACCAAATTGCATTCCTTGTACATTTGAACCAAAATCTTTTTTTGAAATTTTTTAAGATAAAAATTTCTTTCAAAAAAAACCTGTCGAACTTGAGCAAAAGCATCAATTTTCATTTCTTCTGATTCCCATTGAATTTCTCTAAGTTGAGGGGCGGGTATTGAACTTCCAATCATTGACATTAGTAAAACCTGTTAAAATTAAAATGAAACTAACATAAACAATAATGTCAAAGGGTTATCCGGAATTCAATTCCCAAAATACAAAACCAGGTCTTTATTTGAAACAAAAAATCCGAAACTCAATCCGAGAAAAAATTTTGAAAACACGATCCAAAATCAGACCCCCCCCCCACATCCGTGATCAGACCCCCCCCCCTTCCTATTTTCCCACATCCGTGACATCACTAATTCCAACAAGTTATGTCCCAGTTCTGGAAGCAGGTTCCGAAAACCATAGAACCACCAAAATTTTGTAAGTGTCCGGAATTGGAACCATGGAACGGTCCAGTGCCTTAACCGCAAAGAACTGCGTTTAAAACGCCGTCCAAGCACAAGTTTCGGATCAAAAATTGGAATATGTGCCCATAATTCAGGTGAAATATTCATACAACCTATCTTCTCCTCACTCCTACTAAATGGAAAAACAAATTTTGGGAAGAGAAAAAAATTATTGCCCTTATAAGACCATGACGTAGAGCAAAAATTTTTTTCAAAAAAAAAACACAAAAAAACCTCACATGTTTTTTCAATTTAATTGGAGTAGGACACTTTATATTTGATCTACGTAGTCTAAAAAATTAAAAAAGATTTAAATTTTTAAAATTAAAAACAAAAAACCTTTTCATATTCATAAATTCTTTTTCAGCCCAAACTTTCATTACACTACGAGGATTTTTAAATCTAAAGTCATTCTTTACATATTCTGCACGATTTTTGAAACCGGTTAAAGTCGTTCGATAAACCTAAAAAAATTTTAGATCAGCCTTTCTCTTCCACTTCACAAGGGAGCATCGGATACTGTGTACAAAAATCTGGTAATTTTTTGATACTATTCGATAGAGGACCCCCAACTTTCTATTGCAAAGTGATCCGAGTTTTCTTGCAAAATGACATTGTGCCGAGTTATGGCCATTCAAAGTTTTGGTCCTTCGGAGCAGGCCCGTAGCCAGAGGGGGCTGGGGGGCTAGAGCCCCCCCCCCCCCCCGAAATGGGGAAAAGGAAAAAATTTGAGGAAGGGTTGGGGCAAAAAAAGTGAATTTTTTTGGCCTACGGCCTTCCAAAATTCAAAAAATTTTCGCCTGCGACGCAGAAAAGATGAAAATTTATGTACAAAAAAATTTGTGTCCGGAACGCCATGGTAAACGCCAAAAATTTTTGCACCCACCCAGTGTTAGCCCCCCCCCCCCCCCCCCCCCGAAACCGACCCACTGGATACGCCCTTGCCAAATGGTCAAGGGTACATAATGGTCAACTAAGAGAATTTTCAAATTTAACTTTATAAAAGCTTCTCCGCATAACGGAACCGACCCTCTTGATTATCCCTCCTCCTTTCCCGTCGGGCTAAGACAAGTCACGGAACGACAAGTCACGGAATTACCAAAAGACGGAATATTATAAAAATCAAAATATTTTAGAAATGTGAATATTCTTAAAGACTCTTTTAAAAAATTAGATATTTTAAAAAAACAGAATTTAAAAAATTCCGATTTCTAAAAATATTCTGATTTTTAACATAGTCCGTGTTTTGGTCATTATGTGAACTGGTCGTTACGAAACCTGTCTGTTCCGTGATTTAATTCCTCGAGACATACTCCCAAAACCTTTTGTGGAGTTCCCAATGCCGTCATATTTCCAACTATCCCTAATATAAAAAATTTTTTTAAACCTTGACGGCGTAATGCACTTGACCAGAACCAATGTTCGAGGGAACATCCATATCCTCCTTTGAACTTTGACCACATTGTTGAGACATTGAACATCCATCAGAAACAGCATGTAAAACAGCCGATTCCTTTCCAGTTGCAATAATACCTTTGTAGTGAAAATGTGACCCAATTTTCTATTTTTGACACGTCCCTATTTTTTGTGTGTCATTCCCAATCCCCCTCACAACCATTTTTAGTCTTGATTATTTTTTACCAAATCCCTGGTGCTCCAAAAGTCGAAATTTTTGAAGCCCTATAACTTTTCGATTTGGGTGTCAGGGCCAAAAAAGCCAAAAATTGGCAATAGGTTATCGACCATGCTCTACACAATAGTGTATGTTTCATCGCAAAATTTTTGGTCGAAGTTCAAGATGGTTCCTTGTCAACCATTTTTAGCCTTAATTTTCCCTCACAAATTACCGGTGATCGTCCCCTCCCATATTTTTTTCATGCTTATTCTGATTTTTAAAAGTCAGCCCAATAGTTCTCTTATGTTAGTTTTTCAGATCAATTTGATATTCTTATTGGGGAATGAGTAAGAAAAAAAACCTGTTAATCATACCTTCAACCCGATCAATTTCAGAACTGTTAATCCATTTAAGCAAAATAAGACGTGTTTGAACATCAACAGACAATTCATTTGTTTCCTTTTCTTCTTTATCTTTAAAGCGTAAATTTCGTTTTTCGTCCAATTTTGCAAAGCTACGCAAATCGTTGAGAATACGCCTTTAAAATCAGAAAAATGTCCAATCAGAAAAAATGCCCAAAATGTCAAAAAATGTCCAACCTTTGGCCGTTCTCCATACACCCTTTCTTATAAATACCACTTTAAGACAGAGAAATACAGCTTATATTTTTCCCAGAATAATTTTCCCCAGTTAACCCGGCCTCATAACGATGCATCTCCAAAATTTTCACAGACCCTTCACCCGACGAGGAACAACCCTATGAGACTGGGCCGTTTTGGCGCGGGGCCGTTTTGGCGCGAGCTTATAAGATAGCGAGTTCGTTATCAAAAATGATAAAGTTTTGCAATAATAACTCTCGTACCTTTATCTAGGTTCTCCAAAGATTTCAGAATTTTTGATCAAGAATTTCGGAAATTGTGGCCAAAAATGTTGATTTTCTGCAAAATGCCTAATTTTTCAAGGTCTATCGACTATAACTTCGGAAATATTGGATGAAAAATTCTGAAATTTCTGGAGGAGGTAGTCAAGTATGTTAAAGAAATTTGAGAAAAATTTTATAAATTTAGGTCTCGCCTAAGTGCCACTTTTTTGTTCTCGCGCCAAAACGGCCCGGCGCCAAAACGACCCCAACCCCAACCCTATAACTCATAATGAGGTGTTTTTAAATAGGAGTCACATCAACAAATGATCATCCAATCAGTGACTAACCAAATAAAAACAACGATCATTTTATATACACCTCATTATAAAATACACGATTGGTTCAACCCCAAGAGTGGTATTTTAAAGTGCGGCCAAATTTATATTAATAAGAAAACCTTCCAATTCGATGATCGATTACATCTCCAGTTTCTAATCCTAAAGGCAATTGCATGGCTTTTTTGCTTCCTTTGCGTTCCTCCAATCCTTGATCGTGTTTGGTAATGTAAGAGCCATCATCTTTTTGGTAAAATCCACAAGGGGGAAATGTTGAAGATTCTGGCGATTTTTCTGAAAAATTTATAAAACTTGTTTGGTTCCTTTGTGAATCGCCTTCCATAAAATAGGATTCAATTATCGTTTTAGGACGGTGGATCAACGGGGATAGTGGGAAGCTCTTACCATAAGGTTCATAAATTTCCCTTTTAGTTTTCACTCCGAGACTCCCAGCAAAAATGCCGTAAAAACAGCCACTTGACCAAATGATCAGTTTACTCAACTCCGACTAATTTCTTGAATAACAATAATCATACTTTCTCAAGGATTTTACAAATGTAGCTCAAATAGAAATACCCGACCCAGAGCTTCCAAACTAGTGGCAATCTAATTTTAATAGAAAAAACCTTACAATCAAACCTGTGCAGGGACACGGAACGGGGAGCGTGAGCCGAATTTGATCGGCTATAACTTTTTTAAGCTTGATCAAATCCGAATAAATTTTATATCATTCGAAAGCTCTCGACGAGTCCAATCTTTTTTCCAATTTGATGGATCAACTCTGATCGCTATTTAAAAAGTTACAAGTCGATAAGTGTGAAAAACAACGATTTTCTACACTTATCGACTTGTAACTTTTTAAATAGCGATCAGACTTGATCTATCAAATTGGAAAAAAGATAGCGTTTATCGTAGTCTTTCGAATGATATATGATTCATTTGTATTGGATCAAGCAGCAAAAAGTTATAGCCGTTCAGTGGTCGTCTCACGCTCAACCGGCCACGCTCAACTGACCCCAACCGGCAGGGACACGGATTTTGCTGTCCGTATCCGTATATATCCGCGGATAAACGGAAATAATCCGTATCTGTGCATGGGCTTGCTTCCAGTCCCTTATGGATCAGAAATGAGTCGGGATGAGAAAAAAAGTCCGAGTTCTGGATTCCGAGTAACCTGATCTACCCCTGTTAAGAACGGGAGTGAGCCCATTTTCCCACGGATTTCACTTAAGTCTTATGCCCTGAAATGCATAAACTGTGGACAAGAGCCGAAAAAATTTAAAAAAATTTTAAAAAAACCATAAAAAAGTTTAGTTGCAAATTCTTTAAATTCCTCCTCATATTCCTCATCCGAACTTTCCTCATGATCTTCATTCTGTTCTTTTATATAACGCGACGAATAGGTTTCCGAAGACAAAAGGGCTGTAGCCTTTCCTGTTGCCGCTCTGCTTTCTTCAAATTTCTGGAATAAAAAAACATAAAAAGTCGTTAATAGGCTCCCCATCTCCTTTATCTACCCTAAACCAGGCAATGGTTTTCTGACAGTCATCGAGCGACTATTTGCCTTGAAATAAGATAATTCGGGATTTTTCACGATTCCTCCTTTATAAAAGGCTCAAAATGGTCAGAATTCGTTCCTTTACGGAACGATCGGTATATAACGAGAGAAAAACTCACAATTACCAGGGAAAAGGAAAAAAGGGGAGTGAACCGAACCGAAGTACTATTAAAGGCGCATTATGATAAGAATTCTCTCATGTTTGGTTTGCAAGGATAATAAGCGGAAAAAGAGGAGCAAATCTTGGAATTAACGAAAAGGACCTACTTATTGATAAAAATATGGTGAAAAAGGGAGTCTCCAACGACAACTATTAACGGAAAAATTCCTTAAGGATCCCCAATAATTTGGTAAAAAAATTCCAAATTAAAAACCTGAGAAAGTTCCAATTCCCTATCATATTCTCGTTGTAATTTTGCCGCTAGAAGCTCATCAGCAGAACAATCCGGGTCACGAGACAATTCGAGTGCCAAAAAATAATCACGGGAACAATCATCCTCACACTGAGAAACATCAAAATCAAATTGGCCAACCATTTCAATTTCCTAAAAAATAAACAAACAAAACTCATTATAAGATAGACACATGGCCCGAAAAAATCGTAGCTATTAAAAAAGTATCTCATCTTAAATCGAGGGTAAGATCGTGCCTTATAAAGAGGTGTATCTTAAAAAGGGGTACCGCTGACCGCTCCACCTCAGGCCCGTAGCTAGGATTTTTTCCGAGGGCCAAGGGGGAAAATTTTCTGTCCAGAATTTTCAGAGCCTGCACCTCCTAAAACCAACCAAAATTTAAAAATCATACGTAAAATAAAGGTGTAAAAAGCGCTGTATCCTCAATTGTATCCCCACATCTATTTAAAATACGCTTCTTAATTTTAGTTGACTAATGGATAAGGAAAATATCCAAAAAAACCTCAATTTAAAATTGTTTCAGACCAATGGGGCTCACAGTCTTATAGTGATGTCTGAATTTAATTAAGCAAAAGACAAACCTCATTTTTCTCTTGTTCTTCCATTATTTCAACAAAGGATACTACTGGTTGTTGTTGTTCGACATCCTCAGAAGTCTTGCCCCAAGCCATTTTTGGTTTAATACCTTCCGCCATTTAAAAAACAAGTAAAAATCTAAAATAGAAAAATTAAATTTTTTTCAAAAGCTAGAAAGATAGCGCATTTCGAGAGCTTTCGAATGATATAAAATTTATTCTGATCGGATCAAAAATAAAAAAGTTATGGCCGATCAAAGTTTTGGTGGCTCTGACTATTTCCGGAAAAGACAGAATGATATTGATATTTTGAAGGATTTTTTTAAATTAATGTTGAAATGGTAATTACAATTTGGTAAAATCAAAATGCCGAAATACCAGGAGAAAGTTTGCGACAAAATGGTACATCGGGTAAAATGAGACAAAATAGTGTACGACAAAATGGAAGTTAGGACAAAATTAGACATAATGGAGTAACGACATAATGGTACTTGGAGCAATAAAAGACAAAATGGTACCCAACATAATTGGTACTTCGTTGAAATAATAGAGGGAATGGCAAGCCATTTTTGGTTTAATACCTTCCGCCATTTAAAAAAAACTTATATAAGCTTTTGTTGGTGATGGATGTTCCCAACAAAGCTTACAACAACCCTTTAAACTGTTTACGATGCAATTCGGTTATTTTTACAATTTAAGACGTTAAAAATTTTCAAAATTTAGGCAATGCAGGATCCCGTTCGTCTTCCCTGTCAACATCATTTTTGTCGGCAATGCGTAAATTCTTCAGAGTGTACCACTTGTTTGAGGCCATTTAACTTGGCGGAACTTGCTACTGATAAGGTTTAATTAAATTTTTGGAGGGTGTAAAAAAGAGGAGTGTGAGGGGAGGCTATTTAAAAATAGACAAGAAAATACCCTGTGGTTAAGTGGGTTATTTGGCGAATAAAGGTCTGTGGTTCGAGTCCGGTTTTTGGTAAATGATTTATTTTTGCTCTTTAAACATTTGTTTTTGTAGAATTAACATATTTAAGAGAATTTTGAGCTTCTCGAATTTTTTTTGAGCTTCTGGGACCAAAAAATAGAGAAACTTACATACCGTATTTATTCTAATTGAATGGCCGCCATTCTATTTTTCAATACCCCAAAAAATTGTCATTCAATTGGAGGGGCCATTCAAATGGAGGTGGCCATTCTATTTTTCATAGGTTAAAAATTGAAATTGAATGAGACGAATATCCTACCTAATATTTTCCGAACTCGAAATTTTACCGAATTTTTTTGTTAAAATTCGATATTTTGAATTTGTTTAGTGTATTTTTCTCTTAGTTTCACAATAAAACTCAGAAGTTTTATGCCTGCCGAGCAAAGAAGTCAAATTTTGATTAACATCGAAGTCGAAAAATAAAAATTTACTTACTGTACAGTTAGTTCTAATAGTTTATGGTATTGAATAATTTGGGCAAGATATAGAGGGATTTTGAATGTATTCATGAATTTGAAGGTTTAAATTGATATCAGGGAGATTTTAAGAGACGAGAATTTATTTGGATTTGGAGGGATATTCAACAAGTTGGAGGATATCAAGTGATTAAGGAGGATATAATTAATTTTGAGGATTTAGTGGGATATTATGTAATTTGAAAACATCCATTTCTTTTTCAAAAATATTAAATCATCCACATTTCAAAAATAGAACATATTATCCACGTTATCCTACAAATCCTCCAAATCCTCGATATCACTCCGAATCCAAAAACCATCTAACCCCTCTTGTTAAACGAATCCCTAAATATCTTCCCCTAATTATTTTAATCTTCAGATGGTTTCTCTAAATCCTTTTGATCGATTGATATCTCTCTTAATCCTCCCAAATCAGCCGATATACTTTTTAATCCATTTTCTGACTCTGACCTTCTCAAAAATATTACAATTATCCGTAATGAAAAGGAATATTAAATTAGTTAATAAAGGGAATAAAAAATACGAGTTAGGTAGTTTCAAGTTAAAAAGGGCCATTCAATTGGGGGGCCATTCAAATGGAGGTGGCCATTCTATTTTTCATTTATTCAAAAATGTGTCATTCAATTGGAGGGGCCATTCAAATGGAGGGGCCATTCAATTAGAATAAATACGGTAAGTGGGAATCGAAAAAATGCCTTTAAAATCTCAAATCTCTTGCTTTTAGGTATTAAATTACATTGTTGAAAGTTCTCGTGAGGCAACAGAAACATGCGCAAATTGTGATAAGGTAATTTTTCTAATTTCTAAAAAACATTAAATCGAAATTCGGCGAAAGGCGAAACTTTCACACACCTGTCCCAAATTCGTTGCCTGCAGGACTCGAACGCTAACAAGGGAGCCTTTCGAACTGTGACTAAAGATTTTAGATAAAAATTATACCATCGTGTAGAGCATGGTCGATAACCTATTGACAATTTTTGGCTTTTTCGGCTCCGACCCCAACTCGAAAAGTTATAGCTGATTAAATTTTAGCCTTTTGGAGCGGTTCACCTTTCTAAGAATTTCGCTTTTTTGGTTTTTCGCGTTTCGCCAAATTTTATTTTTTGGGATATCGTTTTTTGCTGTTTCGCCATTTGCCTGATAAATTAACTTTTGCTTATTTTTCTCTTTTCAGATTTCTCAACCAATGTATTTTTGTGAAACCTGTCAACAACCTTTATGTGCTGAATGTCGAGAAATCACCCACAGAGTTTATTTTTAATTAAATTTATTTTTTTAATTTATTGTCTTTTCAAGGCAAAAATATTTTTATTGCACAATATTGTTCAAATGGAGGAACGCGGAAGGATAAGAAATCGTCCATTTTGTTCGGCACATAATGAACCTTTTATTTTATACTGCCTTGAATCTAAGGTTTCTTTTCTATTTTTTTTTACTTTAATTTTCTGTTAAACCGCGACAAATTAAGGAAAAGACAATTCAAGCTTTATGA